AACACAAATTAGCTTCAAATGTTCATACCTTCTACTTACACAACTCTCACCACTGCTAAACTTTTAAATTCTGTTCAAAAAACAATTTTCAATATATGTACAAAATTCAATGTTATTCGATAGCAAAAATAAACATTTTAGATTTATAACGCCAAAAATGTCAATAATTCGAATCTCAAATAGTTTTCTTTAAATATTTTTTGAGTATATGCATAAAAAAAGTGCCTAAAAACATTTTCTTAAATAACGCATCGAAAACATTAAATATTTGAAATATTTCATTACTTTAATCTTTTAGAAACCAATTCAAATAATTCAAAACTGAAAAAAAAACCTGACACCTCACTTTCAAAATTCATATTAATATTTACGTATCTAAATTGTTTAATTTTAGAATCTGCAAGCCAAAACCATTCAGATTTCATCTTTCGGCAAACCTCTCTGGCAATCATCAAAATTAAAATCCAAAATATTTAAAAACTTTAAAACTTCCTGGCCACAAAATTCAAAAAAACAAAAACATCATATTCAAAAATTTTATACGCAGAACGGGTAACCAAAAACCCCAAAGAAATTTATAATTTTAATTACAATTTCAAAATAGTAAAAAGATGCTGATAGCTGATTAATATAAATAATCCAAATTCAACCAAAAAATAGACAATACAAAATTTAAATAGAAAAAAACTGTAAGCCAGTTCATAAGTCGCAACATTTGAGTAACCTTCGGTACATAATTATGACCACATTAAGATGATTAAGTACTCGCGGCCCCCAAACAAATCCAGATGCAGAAACAAAACAGCGCCAAAATCCAAAAATAAGAATAAAAACTCCAGCTAAATTTCAAAAAGGCAGTATTATAAATTACAAGAAATTGCGGAAGTTTTAATGCGACAAATGACAGGAGCAAAAAAGGAGCCTGCAGGATGCCTGCAGGAGCACCAAATTCCAAGAGCAACAGGGCGCTGGAGCTGGCAAGAAGACAGAAGCGCGACATAAACAGGAACATGGTTAGGGAAGAGTCCTTTCAACTGGCAACTTTCTGGCCAAAATCTTACAAATGGCGGCCAAGGGTGCGTAGTGCGGCAGGCGGCAGATAAATCACAACGAAACAAAACAATTCCCAGCTCTCGCAGCTAAATCCGCCAGAACAAAACCCAAAAAGCTGAAACAGTAACTGAGCAGAAACTTGAACAGAAACCGAAACCGAAGCAAAAACAAAGACAAAAGCACATCCAGGCAGCACGCGATTTCAGTCAACCCTCTCCACCCAAAAAGGGGTTGAAAACCCCAGAAACAGTTCAGAAAAGAAGCATTTGAGCAGACAAAATCATTCCCATAACCCAGAGGCAGGCACTAGCCTCAAGATTTGACGATGACCACTTTGATCCGCCCCAGGAGAGGCCTCAAGCCCATTACTTGCGCCTGACGGCCGCCACACAAAAAATATGATACAAAGTCGAAGACAGAGCCCTACAACTTAACCCAAATTCAATTCAAAATCCAAATCAGCATCTGATTCAAAATTGCAAACAAAATGAAGGCAGCGCCAGCAGAACCACAACTTAAAGTAATATTTTGAGACGAGTGTCACACGCACAGCAAAAACATACCCACTCCAAAATTGGTGGCCAGCTCCAGTCCTCCCAGTTGCCCCCAAACTCTCTATTCAGACCTTTCAAATTGTGGTTAGACTTGGTTTCTTTGGCAAAAGTTCGAACCATCATCATCCGACATCCAGGATCCTGCCAGCAACCCACCAGCAGCATCAGCATCCACATTGGCATCATGCAGTTGAAAGCACATCAAACAAAACTCAAAATTTATATAAACTACTGTCGAGGCAATAGTCGAGGTCGAGGCATAATTGCCATCAATAAATAAAATATGGCTCGCATGAGGAGAGGCCAGGAAGAGTCAGGAGCAGTCAGGACCATAACCGAATAGTACCGACCATGCCGAAGAAAAGAGACACCCAATCCCAATCTAAACACACCCCACCCACCATTAGCACTCCGTCAATGGCCACTAGACAGAAGAACGTTTTGATTTATAAATTCATGGCAAAAGTTGCCCGGCCAAGTGGCAGCAATAGCAGCACCAACAGCAGACTCCACGGGACAACGTCGATGACGACACACACCACCTAGAAACTTGGCAAACAGCAAGAGCAACATCAGCAGAAACAAGAAATGCAAAAACCGTCTTATGAAATTACACATTTCCGACTTGTACTAGCATCCAAAAAACTAGCAACCCATGCCGAAGCCAAAAACAGAAAATTGAACTAAAATTTCAAATCACTCTCAACCAGTCAGTCAGCCCCCTCTCCAATCTGGCCAAGAAATTTAGTTATGAATTTTATTTACACACACGACCCATCGAGGAGCAGTATCTAACCTTTAACATTTGGCTAGTAGGAAAGTGAAGAATGTTTCGGGCAATTTGGAAATTTGCAAAATCATTGAGACAGACGCTAGAAGCACCCACAAAACGTAGCAAATGGAATCTTGTACAATAGTTCTATTGAAAGTCATTCCAAAATTGATATATCCTTCTCGACCAAGATCTAAGCAAAGAGAGAGACAGATATAGATAGATAGATAGAGAGATACAGATGGAAAAGCTGAAAGGAGGCTATATTCTATATAGCTATAGAAAGACATAGGACAAGAACTCATTTCGGACACAAGGTTGGGGGATACCTAGTGTAATTGCTTAGACTTAAGAGTGTTGCACTTGGAGGCACACAAGTGCAGGACCGACTGACCCCGCCCACAACGCCCTCGTCCTTCTGTACCCTTACCCTAGATAATGGAAAATTACCATTGGGCAGACCAAAAAGAAATGAAATCGAAAACGAAAAACGTTAGTTACAGCATAGGCCTCTTTTGACCCAAAAAAAACGCACCATCATCAGGAATTACGATTAAGCGCGAATTGTACAACGTAACTACACTCTGTATCCCCTTAGTTAAGCTAAAAATTACTACAAGAAATTGCACAAAAACGCAAAAAAGGGTCAAAAACAATGTAGATAATGCCAATCCTTTTGCCTAAAATGTCAATTCTTCGAAATTTCGCTATTGACTTGCGAAATGTTTTAGGCGAAACGATTGTCGCATTTTTTATGTAATTTTATATGCAATCCATTATAGCCACTCGTATATTTTTATATATTTTATTTCGATATTCTCCCTACTATCATTATCTTCGTCAGTTTCAGTTTCTTATATTTTCGACAAATGTGATAAGAAAAAATTTTATATATAATATCAGGAACACTAAAATGTACCCCAAAACCAAACTAAATCAAAACTGTGTTAATCTTTGATAGATCTTTTTAAAAAAAAACATTATTTTGCCATAAGAAAAGTAACAAATTATATTCAAGCAAGCTAAATTATAATTTATCCCATTAATGTCAAAATCACACCAATTGTAAAAATTATGACCTCGCACATTAAAAATCAACAGAAAACATTGTAAAAATTAGAAATAGTATGAATACGATACCAAACAAAAATCAATAAAATTGTACAAGCCAATTTGCTCTAATAACAAAACAAATAATCTCGTTTTTTATTTTAAAATATTTTCTTTTAATACCCACAGATTCATTAAAATCCAATAAGGCCTCCAATAAAGATTATACTGTGGCAAAAAAATGTAACTCGATGTTCCACCCATTTGCGGCCAAACCTAGTAACAAACCTTGTACAATTTTCTGGACAACTGCCCTTCAAAATGTGGAAAATACATAGGGCCTATTCCCTATAAGACCATATAAGCTTCTAAGACCATATCTTAACAAAACATTATCCGATTCTTGAGCGGGATACTTCAAACGATTTTTAATTCGGTTCTGCACAAATCTGCATCAAAACCTACCAGCAAAATATTTTTTCGATTTTCTGTTAAATTTTCTGGACGGTCCCCTTCAAAATGCGGAAAATGCTTGGGAGAGCCATGGGGTCCCCGGTGAAGACCATATCTTGGCCAAAACTTATCCGATTCTTGAGCGGAATACCTTAAACGATTTGTAGTTCGATTCTCTACAAATCTGCATCAAAACCTACTAACAAAATATTTTTTCGATTTTTTGTTAAATTTTCTGGACGGTCCCCTTCAAAATGCGGAAAATGCTTGGGAGGGCCATGGAGCCCCCGGTGAAGATCATATCTTGGCCAAAACTTATCCGATTCTTGAGCGGAATACCTTAAACGATTTGTAGTTCGATTCTACACAAATCTGCATCAAAACCTACTAACAAAATATTTTTTCGATTTTTTGTTAAATTTTCTGGACGGTCCCCTTCAAAATGCGGAAAATGCTTGGGAGGGCCATGGAGCCCCCGGTGAAGATCATATCTTGGCCAAAACTTATCCGATTCTTGAGCGGAATACCTTAAACGATTTGTAGTTCGATTCTCCACAAATCTGCATCAAAACCTAGCAACAAAATATTTTTTCGATTTTTTGTTAAATGTTCTGGACGGTCCCCTTCAAAATGCGGAAAATGCTTGGGAGGGCCATGGAGCCCCCGGTGAAGATCATATCTTGGTCAAAACTTATCCGATTCTTGAGCGGAATACCTTAAACGATTTGTAGTTCGATTCTCCACAAATCTGCATCAAAACCTAGCAACAAAATATTTTTTCGATTTTTTGTTAAATTTTCTGGAGGGTCCCAGCAAAATGAGGAAAATGCTTGGGAGAACTTATTAAAGACAACCCAGTTTTTAAATAATATTATGATTTATTTTCTTTTATTTTTCATGACTCTCGAATGGCCCATTAATTAAAATAAAGTTCTTAGATCAGGCATACAACTACCCAATTAATTAAAAGCCAACCGTGCAAGAAAAATAAGATAAGGCAGTGACGAGTTTGAACGTTGATAAGATTACCTATTGTATGACTGAAAGTTTCGGTTTTTGCTTCATGAAATCCAATTGGTGTATAATACTTTCAGCTTATTTTAGAAAAATGTCATTCATTCTGGTTGGTCAATATTCGTCATCGCTTTATTATGATTTTGCAATAGTATCTTAGGTTAACATTAAATGTTTAGTGCACAGGGCGAGGGCGTAGGCAGAAACAGATTCGAAATTATTCTTACGAAAATATCCACGCTCAGATTTATTTTGACTAATTCAGAATATGCAAATCGAAAGAAATGTAAGTCGTTTTGTAACACTGGCAAAAATAAAGAAATAAATAACCAAAAGATACTTTTCAATGAAATAAGGCTAATATCAAGTGAGGATCGTGGACGCACTTTAAAACAATTCACTCTACAAGCCGGCCACAATGATCGCTGGGTTCTCAACAGCAGCCTTGATTTTGCGCAGGAACAGGACAGCCTCACGTCCATCGATGATCCGGTGGTCGTAGGTGAGTGCAATGTACATCATGGGACGAATCTTGACCTGATTTTGGTTGGGTTAAGCCAAACATTTTATTGAAAAGAATAAGAAAATGTAATGGAGCATGGACTAACCTCTCCCTTGACGGCAATGGGTCGATCAAAGATGCCATGCATGCCGAGAATAGCGCTCTGTGGAGGATTAATAATAGGCGTACCCATTAGAGAGCCAAACACGCCGCCATTGCTGATGGTGAAAGTGCCGCCGTCCATATCCTCCACGGTGATAGCATCTCGTTTCGCCTTATCAGCCAGGCCAGCGAGTGCGATCTCAATGTCCGCGTAATTCATGCTTTCAACATTACGGATAACTGGCACCACAAGACCACGAGGAGTAGCCACCGCCACCGAGATGTCGACATAATCACGGTACACAATATCCTGTAAAAAACAACTCAGTTATTGCCGCTTGACAACAGAAAGTATTTAGCATATTTCTGCGGAAATTGCATAAACAAAAGGAACGGAATAAAATAGCCGCGTGATAAGCAAAATTTAAACAACACGGCTTGGCTTATCAGTCGACGTCACACACTAAAGTAGAAAGATAAGCGTTCATGGGTGGGGCGGGGGCGTGTTTACCGTGCCATCGATAACAGCGTTCACCACTGGCTGATCCTGCAGAGCATAGGCGCTGGCCTTCGAGAAAATGGACATGAAGCCAAGCTTAATGCCGTACTTCTTGACGAAAGTCTCCAGATTCTGTTTGCGGAAGTCCATGGCGTAGCTGAAAAAAAATAAATCAAATGGGTTACAAATATATACAAAAAATGGTAGAAATAAATATATTTATCCACATAGCACCATGGTGGAAAAAAAGGTTCTAACTGATAAGCTGTTGATTAATATTTTAGCTGTTATTGTATATTTTTGAAGTGTGTTATGAACTCGTAGCCATTAATATTAATGGTTGTTTAAAAACCTCAAAGTGAGCTTAATAATTAAGTAAAAAATGTTTCTTTAAAGTTTTTTTTTTAAATGTTAAATAAACCGGTAACTCACCTCATGTCAATTTCGTTGAAAGTAGTGAGCATAGCACATGTATTTTGAGCATCCTTCAAACGCGCCGCGATCTTTAGCCGCATGCGGTTCATCTTAACACGCTGCTCCGATCGAGTGCCAAGGATCTGGCGAGAACCGTCTGCAGGCGGCACTTTCACTTGAGCCACAGCTGGCTTAACGACGGCTGCTGGTGGCGGTGCCTTCGGGGGCGGACGAGCGGCAGCTGGCGGTGGTGGTGGAGGCGGTTTGGCAGCGACTGGCTTCGGTGCCGCGGCCGCAGCGGGTGCCGGCTTTGGCGCAGCAGCCGGGGCGGCGGGAGCGGGGGCAGCAGCAGCTGGAGCAGGTGCTCCGGCAGGGGCCGCACCAGGCTTCATCTTGAAAAGCTCTTGACCGGGCTTAACAGTATCGCCATCCTTCACCAAGATTTCGGTGACAGTGCCAGCGAATGGAGCGGGCACGGGCATCGTCGTCTTGTCGGTTTCGATTTCCATAACGGCAGCATCTGCGGCAAATGAGTCACCCACCTTGCACGTGAACCTTTTAAAGAATAGTTTTGAATTAAGTTGCGGATTTAGGTCGGCTTAGTAGTACTCACTTGATGTCACCTTCAGCGATGGAATCTGCGAACGGCGGCACTTTCACAACCTGCTCTGACCACATGCTAGACGTGGTATGGATGCCTTGCCAGGCAATAACCCTGTGTAAACAAAAGGAATTCTTCAGTAAGATGAGGTACACTGACATGTAAAGTTACAGATTACCTAGGGGCATCCTGGCAGAGTGCAGTGGCATCTTGGCGGAAGAGCTGCTGCCGCTGGGCAACCGATACGGCAACTAATCGGGAATACTGGCGGATGCAACGTTTCAGCTGTGGAAGAAATGGTTTTTAAATTGTTGATTGCACAATCGGGTGGCGATTGAAAAGGGGGCAGGCGGATCACGTGAAGCGTGCGTCACAGGGTTTCCATTTTGGAGGCCCGGCAGCCGCAACAGTTTTTTGCCATTTTTCTCAGAAACGCACGCACACACACACCCATGAAATTACATAATCTCATTGTGAAAATCGAGCAGGGCAGGTGTGGGCCGTGGACGTATTTGCTCCCAATCCATATACATATGTATATATCCAGCTATATGTCTGACACCCCCTCTCCGATGATCGAGCCCCCCCTGATTTACCTCATGACTCCGCAGGGCTCGCATTCCCAGAGTTTGGGGCAGCCGTCTCGTTACGATCGAAATTATACCCGTCATTGTTGCGGCGGTGATGCGCGATTTCGGGTAAGCCGGTGCGGGGGTGGTGGTACTGGTCAATTTGTTTAAACACTATCGAATTTAAAACAGAGCTTGCGGCTAAAGCAAAGCAACGTCGATTTCTGCAATCCGCCTCCTTTCGTCGCCCCGCAATTATGTCACGAAAACAGATGTTTCGGGCGCCACCTGGCGGAAACGCACGGTAACCTCGGCCGTAGGCCGATATAATTTTCCTTCTTTTTTTTTTATAAAATATTGTTTGATTTAAAAAAATGTACATTGGTAAGTTAACCAGACAATATTTTAAAAAGCCATGCGATCTGAAAATATTAATATTGTTTATTGAACAAGTAAACAAATGGTTTTGTAAAAAATGCATGAAAAGGATAAAGTAATTTGGAACATTTAACAGAGAGCCCTAATTAAACAATTAAAATATTTTATTTACTTCAATTCTTTTTAATTTTACTTTTATAAATTTTTAATTATAAAGTTTTTTTATGCCTTAGTACCTTTTTGGCTTACGGCACGTAACCCGCGAATGGTCACACCATTAAGTTTTTGAAGACTGCTACTCAAAAGCGTTCAAAACCGACCGATCAATCACCCGCCTTCAACATGAGTTCAAAATCCTTTTTCGAAAGTGACGAGGATGCTGCCCAGAGCAACAAACTGTCCAGGAAGGCAAAGGAATCGCCCTTTATGCTAGTGGGTAAGTGAAGAATATTGTATGGGCACATACGCATGTACACGCGCAAGTTCAGTGGGTTCGTGACGTCACATGGAAACTTTTGGCTAGAGGCTGATGAAATTGTATGTGAAGATGCCCGCTCGGGGATGTCGGCTAAACTTGACCTTGGCCATGTAATTCACGCATAGAGGTTAATATCAATTGGCTGTTTTGTCTAAAATTATATGATATAACGGTTCATCCTTCGGGTTCCGCCCGCCATCGTTCTGGAATGTTAATGATGTAACCGTAATTGCAAGTTCCCACAGATGCGAAAGGCAATGGAAAGTTATGCATCAATATTAACACATCCGTGACGTCACAGTGGCTTCCGTACCTTGACGCGTGTTCGAAATTGCCAGGTGCTTATCTGTGTAGGTTTGTGCGAATATAACAAATACCAGCTGACTGTCGACAGATCTGAGTATATGGCTTTTTCTATAAAGTTTAAACATATTGATTTGTTTAGTTAATAAAAACTATTTATAATTAGAATAATGATCGTAACTCAAGATCATTAAAAACTGAAAAACTTAATTGGCTTTAGTATTTGAGGTATATGTATCTATGTGTGTTTGCATACATATGTGTGTGTGCGATGTCTGGCCTTTATCAGCTGACTAACCCAGCCAGCTAGCAACAACAAACTAATTATTTTTACTTTCGCCCACAGGCATCGCCGGATTTGTGGCGGCTGGAGTGATTGGAGCCTACAAATACCGGAACCGTGGAACCATGAGCACCAGCGTATTCCTGATGCAGTTGCGTGTGGCCGCCCAGGGAACCGTTGTCGCTTGCCTGACCGCTGGCTTGGCCTATTCGATGGCCAAGGAGTACATATTCGACAAGGCTCCCAAGGAAAAGTAATGACGCGTTCCTACTTAGTTAAATCTAGCAGTAGTAGTCGTAATTGTTGTATCTTGTAAGTCCTTCGCACACAAGAAACTATTCGGATATGTACCAAGCCCTAACAATGTTTTGCTTTAATTATTTTTATTTCCTTGCCAACGAAAAAGTTTGTGTGACCTCCCATCAGATGTACAATTCATTTTATCTTTTATTTTTATTTTTATTTTAGCCCCAAATCCCTGACTAACTAAAACAATTGAATGTTCGGATTCCCTTCAATTATCCCCAAACAAAATCTCGGGGCGACATATGCAATCCTTAACTCTATTTATTGCACCATCATAAGCTTAACACCGACTAGGAAGGTTAGAATCATTGAGGGGCTGGACTCTATCAAGTATTTTTTGGGTCTAGGCCCCCGAGAAGAAGATAGATAAAATATTGTATACCTGCATATGATTGTGATACTGTATGTTTTTAATTGTACAAGTACGACATCCAAACGAATGCTTTCGAGGATTGTCGACTCTATGAATGAATACCTCTCGCATGATATGATATGATTTAATAAAGAAAATAGTCTAAAGGAATCAAAATCTTTTAAATGTGGCTTTGGAAAGTTTTTACAAGGTTTATATATTGTTCTCTTAACCTTTTTTTAAAACTTGTTGCGGAATAGACTTTATAAGGCGTAATTGTTGTCCTTGTTATCGTTGGACATATGAAAAACTGGCCAGGATCAGACGTAAACTTATCTCTGCGTGCTGTGGCTCGTATCTGGGAAGTATTTGGAGCGTTCACGGCGCAGAAGCCAGTTCGTTGACTATTCTTGGCAAGTGAGAAACATGAGAATACTTCACTTCTTATATAGCCCTCCTCCAGCTAAGAATTGGCTGACCAGATATTCTCCAGAACCCAACTGGAAAAACCAAGTGGGAATGGTACTTAAACACATGTACTAGCGGTATAATATATCCCGAGCTTGGCTATAAATAGAGAACCACCAACAGTCTAGGCTTCAGTAGCTCTAGTAGCATTTTATCAGTCAACATGGCAATTAAGTCTTTGATCCTGGTTACTGCCGTCCTGGGCATGGCCTTTGCAGTCGACTACTGCGCCCTGCCCACCTGCCTGGACAAGCACATCGCCTGCAACAACAAGGGGGTATGCACATGAACTCTTACTAAAAGGTATCCCCAATACATCGTGTTCTTTCCCAGAATTTCAGTGAAAACTGCCCCAAGGATGTACGAGAAGTGGCGATGGCTCCACACCAAAAACTGATCCTGAGCCTGTTCAACGAATTGAGAAACAAGGTTGCCGGAGGTGGAATCGAAGGACTTCCTAAGGCCATCCGCATGGCTAAAATGGCCTGGTGCGAGGAGTTGTCTCATTTGGCTCTGCTTAATGTGAAGACCTGTGAATCCCTACCAGACAAGTGCCGCAGCACCGAGAGATTCGCTTACGCTGGACAGAACAATGCCATCTTCAGCTACAGCGGGGCTGAGTCAGAGTACTCGGATGCGGAAATCCTCAAGGAGCAGATTGAGAACTGGTTCGCCGAGCGCTCCAACGCTTCCCCCGACATCCTGGCTAGTTTCCCCCAGGAGCTGCCCAACAAGAACGTGGCCAAGTTCACCATTGCTGTGGCCGAAAAGAACACTCACGTAGGATGCTCTGCTGTGCGCTTCTCCAAGGACTACTACAACCACTTTGTCCTCACCTGCAACTTCGCCACCTCGAACATTGTGGGCCAGCCGGTGTACACTCCCGGAGATAAGGCTACTTCCGGATGCAAGAACCGTTATGGAGCTGCCTTTGACTACCCTAGTCTGTGCTATGCCAAGGAAATCTATGACAACGAGAAAATCATTCCATCTGTCACCTTCTAGTTACTCAATGAAACTTGAAGTGGATTTAAATGAGTAATATAATACTTTGTATTTATTAATAAAATGCTGTTGAGGAAGTGAGACTCCAAATAATAGTGTTATGTTTTGTAGAAATGCTTTGGCTTGCATTACAACCGTCTGGTGAGTAGCAACTGAGGTTTGTGGAAATCTCAGAGACTTATTGCTTTTGGGCTTTAACTCTCATTACAACCGCCTTGTGAGTATTCGACTTTATATGGAGGTTGTAGTGCCTCATAAGTTTGAAATGCATACGACATGGTTCACAACTGGAATTCAAACCAAAATATTAATTTTTATCATGAAAAGTTATATCAGAGTCGAAGCTTTGCTGCTGTACCTGAAATTCCGCGATAGGGTGTGATATTTTTGGTGGGACCTGCAATCGCTTGGTGTAACAAATGCTTTTGGACAAAACTCGCATCGGTATGGTCGCTTGCTTTCGTCCATATGAATCCTGTTGATGGGATTGTACTATTAACTTTACAAATAGATGGAAAACATCGACAATATGTACCTCTCGTGAATGCTGCGGGCGCTGCAATATCTGAAGGTTTTTCCACAGTCATACCGACACGTATACGGCCGTTCTAAGCTGTGACATTTCATGTGGACAGTGAGTTCACTGGCTATGGCGAAAGAAGCGTCGCACACACTGCACTTGTGGGAACGAGTGCCCATGTGACGCACCAAGTGATTTTTCAGATTGCTTGTACTGGCTAACTGCTTGCCGCATATGTGGCACACCAGCCGGGCATCCACAGGTGCATTGCATCGTTCCTCATGGCACTCCAACAGGATCGTATTGGGGAACTTCAAGGGGCACTTGACGCACTTGTGAGTCAATGGAAGGTTGACTACATTGCAATGCCTGGTTAAACCACTCACCGATCTGAAGCCCTCACCGCAGTGGTCGCAAACGAACCTAGAATATACACATATTATCTGATAGAATTTTGGATTCCTTAGTTATTCTAAAAGAGCCATTACCTCGTATCGAATGAGACATCATGTAGCTGGTATTTGTGGGTTCTGAGCTCTTCCAAAGAACCAAAGCTCAGCCCACAATTGCTGCAACAGATGTCTATGCTCTCGAAATCCTCAGAATTATCTATGATACTTTCACATATGATACTTTGTAATTCAACAGAGTTACTGACTTCCTGGTTTTCATCAAGAACTGCGCTATCCTTGTCATCCAACTCTTCCACCAATACAACCGATATCTGCTCAGTTGCAGACGCCTGCCGTCCATTTAGAAAGTCGGCCTCCCTTTGCCCTACTCCTAACTCATCCTCGGTATGATATGTTGGCGATGGTGACTTCTGTGTATGATTTGTGATATGAGAAGTAGTTGTCAGAGAATCCTCTTCTTCCTCGATCCAAGCCTCCAGACCAGAATCATCCACTTTCTTTTTCTTAAGTTGGAGTAGTTCTTGCGCCTCCAGACAGACTCTGCGAAAGTCGATAGCTATCTGTAGATCATGCTGACACTGCTGGCAAATAAACCTCGGAAAGTCCACATCATCTTTTAGCTGAAAGAAAGGCATTTCAATTAGTTCAATTAGAGAATTTAATTAAATTAGCCCATGGACTACTCACTACCATGTTTGTCAATGTGTAAATGTGTTTTAGCAGAGTACTAGATGTATCAAATAAATTTCTTGCGGTTTCGGGATCGGATTTTCCCGAGCAGGTCCTGCACAAGTCCTCCATTGCCGCCAACTACAACCTTATCAAGCCAGACGGAATTAATTGTTTACAATTAAGAAGAAGAAAATTGCCATTCACACTGCGCGACTTTAACGCATTTTTAAAAACCTATTAAATTAAATAATCTAAAATAATTTATTATTTTAAAAAAGTTTACTGAGTAAATTAAGGTTTTAGTTGTTTATATTACAGGGTAAGTTTTATTTATACAAAATTTACAAAAAATGCAGTTTGGCAACTGCGAGGATATTGTCTTTAGTTTTAGGGCCTAATGCTACATTTATTTGCACTTCTTGGTTGGTTATCCCGATGTAAACGTAAGGTTAATAATATTAATTATAATTAAGTTGATAAGGCCGAGTTAACAAGTCTTTTCTTATGGAGTTTGGTGCTTTTGTGCAAAGCCAAGTGCGTGGAGCGCAAAAACCACTGGTCACATGTATCGCAGCTGAAAATAAACATTTTTGTATTCTTATAAAATTCTTGAAAGTCTATTGGGTTTCTTACTGAAATTTTCGATTGTTTGTGTGCATCATTTCGTGCCTTTGCTTTGTGGATGTTGAGGTAAAGGCTTTGTCACAATACTGACATTGAAAGGGTCGCTCGTTGGTGTGGGATCTTTCGTGAACGGCCTTACTGCTGCAGCCGCGAAAAGTTTTTGGGCAGAAACGGCAGGCATATGGACGAGCATCAGAGTGCAGGACTCGATGCCGCTGCATCTCATTTTCTGTGTAGTACTTGGCGTGGCAAACATCGCACTCGAAAGGCTTCTGTCCAGTGTGTCGCAGCTGGTGGAGCTTGAGGTAAGTAGAACACTTAAACTCTCCGCCGCATTGCTCACAAATCCACGTTTTTGCACTTCGTCTCACCAATCTGGCCTGTCTAGCCTGGCTTTTTTTAGGGGTCGGAGGACTACTTCGTTTCTTCTCGTCATCCTCCGGCTCTTGAATCTGTTGCTGATCCTGCTCTTGTTGACATTCCCCTTCATGTTGTTGGTCCTCCTCGTCTTCTTGTGGAATAGAATTCCCATTATCAACTTCATCCATATCTTCTTCATCTTCCTGGGCTTCTTTATCTTCAACATCGTGGTACTCAATTGAATATTCTTCTTCAGAATTATTAGTTTGAGCTTCTTTCTTTTTAAACTCTAGAAAGGTCTTATGAGCTTCCAGGCACATTTTTTGAAAGCCAAGCATTTTGTTCAGCTGAATTTTGCATTTTTGGCATATTAGCTCCGGCATGTGGTTGTCGAAATTTAACTAAAACGTTAAAATTTAGTTACTAAATAAACTTAAATTAAACTAAATAACAGAAAGCTCACAAACATATCGGTTATATTTTCAATCAGAGTAATTAATTGATAGTTGGACTTTGAAAACAGCTTTGTACTTGACAAATTCTCCAGGTTTTTACCACAAGTTCGGCAAAGGGAGCGCAGCGAAAGCATTTTAGTAAACAAACCAATGTTATTTATTTATTTATTTCTTATTTCCAAACGAATGGCAAAGAGGAAGAAGAAGCATAGACCTAAGGTGCCGCTGAAAAATAGTGTACACACTGGTTAATAAAATATAAAAGAATTAAAAAGGAAAAATATTTTATTAAAAAAAAAAATTGTATATTTAATGAAATTATACCTTTATTTATTTTTTTCATACAAAATTTAATAGAATCGGAAAGAAATATAAGAAATTTAATAGAGGATATAAACAAAATGCGTTTTACCAACGTTGGTTTTCCCGAAACCTCGTGTTGGTCACACTAAAACGTACAAATTCGTAACATTCAGCGTCACAAAATATTATTTCGGAAATTGTAAACATTACCATGCCACCGGAGGCGACCAATGAGTGTCGAATATGCGGCGAACAAATATTTACGGCCAACCCAAAAAACATTTTCGAACGCCGCAATCAACGGATTCTATTAGCGATAAAACAAGTTACTGGGTTAGCGGTGAGTGTGGGAGTCCTAATCTCCGTAGATATATTTGATGGACAACTTCCGTAAACTGTTTACTTAATATCATATTTACAGTTAAAGTTTGAGGCCCAACTACCGATGCACATCTGCACATGCTGCCTTTTGGATTTAAGCCATGCCATTGCATTTCGAGCGCGTTGCTTGGAAACTGATGCAAGTTTGCATAAAAACCGGACCAAAAAGGTGACCAATAAGGACAGTGACCCTCTTATAAAGACAGATCCCGACATTTTGAAGCAGAATGGTACACGGTCATCTAATGAAATTCAGGATGACCACGATTCAAAGTATAACAGGCAATCTCCTCGCGTTATGCTCAAGCGGCTTCACATGTCTTCAAAGAGTGAGCCAAGCTCCCACCCTGATCCCACGAGGATGTCTGCAGAGCCGGAGGAAATCCCAGAAAGACCGAAGAGGCGCCGAAGAAAAGTCAATCCGAATGACAAGCGATACGTTTGTGACCAATGTGGTTGGTCCTTTGCCGATCTGAGCAACATGAAGGACCACAAGCTTCGTCACTTCGACGAGAAATACGTGTGCGACGATTGCGGTCGTAAGTTCTACACCCAGCCTATGCTAAGGATGCATATTCGGGTAATTCACAAGGGTGAAAAGCCGTACGTCTGTAAATATTGTGGAGAGGGTTTCGGAAATAGTCCTGCTCGCTGTCGACATGAAAGGTAAGTGAGTTTCGTGGTTCTCAGATCTTAATCTCAGATTTTTTCTAAAAAAAAATCTTTTTTTTTCAACAGAATTTACCATGCCGAAGAGTTAATGTTTCCGTGTGACTTTTGTGAGAAAAAATTCAATAGCGACAAGGGAAGGATGAAACATCAGATCAAATGTAACATGGATGCAAATTTTTAGTAAGAATTGTTGATTTATTTTATCCGCAAATTCTAAAACAGCGTCCTATTTTCAGTTGCGAGCCCTGTGATAAGGTGTTTAAAAATGGTGACTGCTTGCGGCGGCACTTTTTTAGCAAATATCATCGCAAGCGCGAAAACCCTGAAGTTACGGATGAGGTTAACGAGTTTAATAAAGACCCCAAACAAAAAAGATATAAATCCTCTGACGGTGGTCTTAAAGAAGAAGAAGAAGACTCGGAAGAGAATGAACAGGATTATGAAGACTTGGAGGATAGTCAAGAGGAGTACTTGGAGGGTGAAGAACCGCATATGGAGGAGGAGATGCTGGATGAGGACGGAGCCGGTGTCTTCGACTGTGATGAGACAATTCTGGAAGAGATACTTACATAGGTTCAACTAAAAATTCATTGTATGGCAGGGGTAAAAAGCCCAGGGATGAAAGTTATCACGATTTTTTGTAACTAGGATATTTTACTGTCCTTAAAAGTAATTTAGGTTTTAATTTCTGTTTAATAAATTTATTAAACGAAATATTTTATTTAGAACCAATTAATGCTGAAAAATAATAATTTTTACTCCATTTCAAATAATAATTAAAATATTGTATAAAATTAATATTTTTTATTTATGTTTTTTTTTTAGATAATAGAATAAAAAGTACAGATAAAACTTTAGTAGTAAAGCTCAAAACTTTATAAATATTTGGCGCCAAGTAAATTGAAATTGAAAGCCCTTCTTCAAAAGAACAGTTATTTGAAGCAGTAATATAGGCATCTGGCAACGCCATCGAAAACCACCGACGCACAAAATCTAGAGCGCGTTCCTCCGTTTTGTTTAGAATATAGACAATAAAGTATTATTCTCTTTTGAAAGTTACAACTATAAAATAAAGAACTTTCCCGTTTTAATATGGCGACCAGGTGTCGACTTTGTGGCGAAAGTCTCTTACCCTTGCAGGCCAAGAATTTATTTGACAACTTGAATCGGGGAATAATTTCTAGAATTAAAGTAATCACTGGACTATCTGTAAGTAGCTGGTTTCAAAGCCATAAACACACATGTACCAATGCATATACCAATTTCAGTTAAGGGAAGAGGTGCACCTTCCGCGTCACATTTGTACCAGGTGCTATGATCACTTGCAGCTTTCAAACGGCTTTCGGGAACGTTGCCTTCAAAATCAGAAGAGATTAGCCAAAAGGATCCAATCCAAAAGGACCCAAAAGGACTTTCGAGTTTGTGTAGATCATACAACCGATACAAAAATCTCCTTAGACCACCAGAATGTTTTGCTTGCCACCGGATCCTCACCTACTCCTACTGAAGATTTTCCAAAAACAACTTTGGAAATTCTGTGCAAATTTGAAGATGCAGGTCCTCCAGGACACGAGGAAAAATCTTTTATTAAAATTCTTACAAAAGTGGAGAACAATATTGAAAGTAGTGGCAATGAACCTGAGAGTTTTGAATGTCCACTAGTCATACCTAAAAAAGAACTGTCCCTAGTGGACACGACTATTCCCATAAATCCTAGTTCACCAGAAAGAGTACTAGAGCAGCAATCAAAGACAGCCACTATAAAAAACATTTCTTCTAAGAAATCTTCTCGCAAACCTTTGAAATTGCTGTGCAATCTATGCGGAAAGTATCTGAAGTCGGTCGAAAATCTGAAAAATCATCAGCTACGCCACTTGGGTGTCAAAGAGTTTGCTTGTCAAAGTTGCAATAGAAGGTTTGTGACCAAACACCTGTTAACGCTTCACGAGCGTGTTCGTCATTTGGGCGAGCAACCCTACCCATGCGGTTATTGCCAGTTGTGTTTTTTAACCTCTGCAGCTCGCAATTATCATGAAAGGTTTGCCCATTTAATTTTCAAAACAATTTTCAAAAGAAAACTTAAAAAAAAAAAAACTCCACAGGTTGAAACATATTAAGGACAAGAAGTACAAATGCGAAGATTGTGGAAAACAGTTTGATACAGCGTCTTCCCGGAAGAAACACATGATTATTCATACTGGCCAAAAACCTCATAGGTGAGCAATAAAATCTAAATTTTAATTCTCTCTATTTATTTATTTGTCTTTTTTTTTATAGCTGTGAAATGTGTAACGTTAGCTTTTCGCGAATGGATCATTTAAAAGTCCATTTTCGATCGGAAAAGCATAAGACATTGGCAAAAGTGGTGGACCTCAAGTGGTGGTCTTAATAAAACCTTGACTACATGATATTAATTTCTTTATAAGGAAATCGGCACTGGATTGCCATTCTTTTCTTTTTCAATTACTTGTATTGCCCCGAATTGGCAAGTTTATTATTTCTTTAAACATGGAATATTCTTTTTTGTTTCTTCTTGACATTAAATCACGTTATGTTTAGTTGATATTCATTAAGCCTAAAGACTTTATCAAAAGATGGTACAGACCTAGTTATATAGACAAGCTTATTTTTTAATTTTAAGACGCATTTTTCTCAAAGCTGCATAGATGTTAGTCTTTTGAAATCAAAACTGTATTACCAGGATACAAAATCGAATGATAAAACCGCTTAAATTTAAACACACGAGGACAGTCACATCGAAGGGATTTGCCATTCACCTTGCTGTTGATAAACAAACAAATAATTTTGTTTAGCCAGGTACCATAAAACAAACATCTTATTAAAATAGTATCTTCGTTAGGAGATACTTAAGGAAAATGTCCTTACTATGTCGTATCTGCAACCAGAAGACTGAGAAGGCTAAAAACCTTTTCGACAAGGACACCTCTGAAAGAGAAACCCTTACCAGCATATTAAAGATAACCGGGATTTTGGTGAGTTTTTCTTATTTAACAACAAAGTACATATTTAATTCATCGAATTTTTGAATTTTTCAGTTAAAGAGCTGTGTAGGGGTTCCTGACCGTATATGTTTGTCCTGCTTATTGGATCTTGATGGTGCAATCGCCTTCCGGGAACGCTGCTTATTAACGAACATGTATTGGTCCAAGAAATTCCAGGATGCGGGTGATTTAGGTACTCAAGAAATGGGAGAACTCAATTCAAATAAAAATCATCAGAGAGTGAAAATTTCACCAAATCGTGTGGATCATTCTGGGTCAACGGATGATCGCCTTTTATCCATAACATCTAATGCCAATGATTCAGATCCCTTGGACAGTGAGATTATTATAAAAATGGAACCAGTCACTGAAACAGATCATTTGGTACCAACTCAACAGCTTCCTTTGTGTGAATCCGACTTGCTAAACATTGAAAGCTCTAATCCTAAACTTTATCTAAAAGAACCGATTGTGTGTAAAAAAAGAGGTAGACCAAGTAAAGCTAAAGAAATATTGGAAAACAGATGGAAGAAAAAACCTGTAAATCGTGGGCCGGAAAGAGGACCCTACATTTGCGACCAGTGCGGGAAGACCTTCAGTGAGAAGGGAAACTTTAATGTCCATCTCACTCGGCATATGGGCGTCAAACAGTTCAAATGCCAGGAGTGTGATCATGGGGAGTTTACAATGCATTTGCTAAAACTCCACGTTCGGATCAAGCACCGGGGTGAACTGCCCTACGTTTGCAAGTATTGTGGCCAGCGTTTCAAGAATTGTAACCTAAGACTGAAGCATGAGCGAAGACACAAGGAAAGCCCTGTCCATAGACCGCATCTTTGCCAAATTTGCGGTAAGGATTTTTTAGACAAGCAGTCGCTTCGAGTACACAGCGTTGTTCATACGGGAGAGCAGCCATATCAGTGAGTTTACATACATTTTTATTACAAGATCTTTTTTTTATTTGTTCTTTGGACTACATTTCAGTTGCGAGTTGTGTCAAGTAAAATTTAATCGAAGAAGCAGCTTGGGTACTCATTACCGGTCCAAAACTCACAAAAAGAAGCAGGAGGAGCAGAACCCTCCCAGCCAAGACCAAAAGTAAAATGAATAGAGAAAGACTGGGTATTGGATTGGATACTACATGTTTGCTAATTTTCTGTGTTATATATTCCATCGATTTAAAACTCGCGCCTTGAGAGTTATCTCAAAAGCAACCCTGTTTATAGAATAGACGTTTCGCAACACTAACGTGTGTTTTGAGTATTTGCAAAAATTTCGCATTTTGCCGGCAAGGCCAAGGTCGCTTATCTTTAACATGCAAAATTAACTAATTTAAGAATTTAACTAGTAAATCTTCAGCCCAAAATATTAACAAGCTGATTATCTGCGGAGATGCTGTAAAAGATAAGAGCATCAAGGACAAACGGTGACTCCTAATGGGTGTGTCATTCGATAACAACTCCTTTGTATACACATATTCCATTAACATTCCACTCACGTAACGAAATATTTTTTCTTAAAGGGAAACTTGTCATGCATTCGCAAAAGTGACTTTGAAATGGCACTAAAACGAACGAACTTAAAGCTAGTAGAGCTGCTCCAGCCTGAAGAAGTAAAGGTGAACAGTGCACCCACTTCGGATACAGCCTTTTCTGAAGAGGACTTCACTAGTGATGAGGAGAAGTCTCAGGAGTATAACAACAACCATACAGAAAACAGGTGCCGCATATGCTATCGGATGTTGGGGCCAGACTCCAATGACAAGGACCTCTGCGCCGATGAAAACAACGTGCTTCTCTACTACATAGAACTCATCGCGGGAGTAAGGGTAGGTGGCCACGAAGGGGTGGATTTGTTTGTAAACCATAATGGGAGTTGTTTTGAGCTCATGCCTCCACCACCCCCTGGAAATTTCTAGCATTTTTAAACATGATATGTGGCTATTATGTTTCACCCACATGATAAATATTTATTATTAAAATCTTTGAATAAGCAGCTTAGTTTCCATTATTATGAATAAATATTTAACTTTTATATTTTTTTAGATACAAAGAGAAGATGGAATGCCGAATCGAATTTGTAGCAACTGCCATGGAAGTCTTCAAAAAGCAATGGAATTCCGAAGTAATTGTCTAAAGACTGAATTTAGACTGAAACAAGCTAAAGGAGAAACATTCAGATATGAATCTCAATTAAGCGATGATGACATTGAAACTGAACTGGAGAATGTTCTTTATGAAGAATCCGCTCAAAACATCTGCGAGTCGTCTGTTTTAGACGAGGGGTCTGGGTCAGACATAGATTTGTTCACAGATGAAGATGAAGAAGAGTCAGACCCCAAGGAAAAAGATACTGAAGTACCTGAAGACAGAATGGGAATAAGACAACCCAAGCATAAATGTAATGAGATATCTAGAATCGTTCCGTGCGCATCTAAAGAGGAAGTTGGAAACCTGGATAGAGATGGTCGTGTATATAAGGTTGTGCTAAATGAATGTAATAGAAAAGAGGAAGATTCCGAAACGGCTCTAAAAATAAAACCATCTAAGTTAAGCATAGAAGAGATCAATAAGAGAAGACGTGAAAAACATAAAAGTAAACCGCATAGCTTTGTTTGCCATAAATGCGGAAACTCTTATCGACTGGCAAGTCATTTGGAGAACCACATGCTCCGACACAATAACGAAAAAAACTTCCAATGTCCAGAGTGTCCAAGAAAGTTTTATGTGGGTTACGATTGTAATATGCACATACGAGTTAGACACCGAGGGGAGAAACCTTTCACCTGCAACCACTGCAGCGAGTGCTTTTCCAGTCCCGGTTTGCGACAAAGGCATGAAAAGCAAGTACAACAATAATTTTTAATACCGGCTTTGTGTATTAATATTTGTTCCTTTTGCTTAAAATTAGGAAAGTTCATGGGGCAGGGCCACGAGTTGTGATGACGCGTTTCAATAAGGCGAAAGTGCCGCCGGACGAGGAGGAGAAAAATGGACGCTATTTCTGCAGCGAGTGTCCAAAAAGTTATACTTCCAGGTTTTCCCTAAAGGTGCACAAGAATAGCCATACCGGTGCAAAGCCGTTTAAATGCAATGTGTGTCAGCAGGCTTTCCGAGGGCCGGGCTTGTTGAGACGCCACATGGAAATCCATAAAAAACTTCCATTCCATTGTGAAATCTGCCTCAAGGGATTTTTGCTTAAATGCCAACTCAAGGATCACATGTTGGTGCACACGGGAAAGCGTTCTTTTTGGTAGATATTATTACAAAAATTCATTTTATTTTGTGTAATTAAAAAACTCTTTCTAATAGGTGCGAGCTGTGTGATGTGTACTACCGGTATAGATACAATCTAACCAAGCATCAGAAAAGCAGTTTGCACTTGGATAATTTGCTCAAACGTTCTGAAACTGAATCTCAAGATCTATAAAAAAAAGGATGAATCTCAGCTGCAATCTCAAATAATAGGATTTACGTTAAATGCACAAAGAAAAAGTGCCAAAGACATATAAGAGTTCAGAATTCATAGATAATATTATTACCACCTTTCAAGAAAGATCTGGAATTTTTCCATTTAATATTAGCATAAGTAAGAAAAGATGGCCATATTATACTTAATTCTTTTATTAGCGTACTTGTGTTTACAATAAAAAATGTTGATTTTACTGTGGATAATCAAAAGACAAATTTGTTTTGCTTTTTTTTTTGTTGTATGAAAGCGCTTCCCTCTAAATATATAACCTATAACAAATTGAGTAATCTTAATAGATGAAAACATTGATATTAATAATAAACGAGTATTTTAATTTTAAATTCCGAACTTTTTCCGCGCCATTATTACGTTTATCAACACTATCCTTGTTTAAGTGCTGCAAACTACCATATCGCAGTGTTGCAAAACACCATCCATTGTATACATACATATATGCGCAATAATACCATCTCACACATACACACACACAAGTACAGTCGCAAGTTGTTCGAAAGAAACGCCATTCAAAAATCAAAAAGTGGACTCCAGTGGGAACAGGAGTATATTTACACAAATAAGCCATTAAAAAGCCTGAGGAACTGTTAACCCTCGGTGCCATCTAGATCGAACCCGATGTCGTAGCGGGAAGACGGCGAAATGCAACCCAAAATGATAAATCCAATTGCATCCGAGTCGGAGGCTATCAATTCGGCCACATATGTGGATAACTACATCGATTCGGTGGAGAACCTGCCCGACGATGTACAGCGCCAGTTGTCCCGCATCCGGGACATCGACGTTCAGTACAGAGGTGAGTACCTGTGAAGAGTTTTCCCGCGGAATGAACCAAGAAAAACCTAACCTCGGAAAACCGATTTTCATCCAATTGGCAGGCCTTATACGGGACGTAGATCACTACTACGACCTGTATACGTCGCTGCAGAGCTCCCCGGACGCCGGACGCAGAATGCGAACTATTTCCCGAATGCACCAAAGCCTCATTCAGGCCCAGGAGCTCGGTGACGAGAAAATGCAGATTGTGAACCACATGCAGGAAATTATCGACGGAAAACTGCGGCAACTGGACACGGACCAGCAAAATCTGGACCTTAAGGAGGAACGTGAGCGCTATGCTACGCTTCTGGAAGATGGCCAACCAACTAAGCTTCAGCGGCTGCAGAGTCCCATGAGAGAACAGGCCAACCAAGGCATGAGCGGTGGAAACGGCGGGGTGAATGGCAACGGTTTGCCATACCAAGCCAAGGATCACTACGGTCTGAACAGCTATGGTGGCGTGGTTCAGGGCTCAGGTGCCATATCTTCCGGCAATGGTGGCAGATCCACGCCCAATTCCGAGCGCTCCAGCCATGTCAGCAATGGTAACAACGGCTCTACTGGAAACATCAATGGCGGAGCAGGCGGGGACTTACAGCGTACGGGTAGCAAGAGGTCGAGGAGGCGGAATGAGAGCTTAGTAAACAACGGAAGCTCTTTGGAGATGGGCGGAAACGAGTCTAACTCCGCTAACGAGGCCGGAGGCAGTGGAAGCGGAGGAGGAAGCGGAGAACGTAAATCTTCACTTGGAGGCGGTGGTGGTACTGGTCAAGGACGCAAGTCCAGTCTCCAAGCTGCAGGTGGTAGCCTAGCCAGTGGATCCGCGGGTACAAGCAGCGGTGCCGGAGCTGGAGGAGCCGGAGCCAGTGGAAGTGGGGCCGCTGGAGGCGGCGGTGGCAACAATTCTGGCAAGAAAAAGAAACGCAAGGTGCGTGGAGCGGGCGCCTCAAATGCCAACACCAGTACACGAGAGGAGACACCGCCTCCGGAGACAATTGACCCAGATGAGCCGACCTACTGTGTCTGCAATCAGGTAACATTTCAAAAGACATCCTTCTCAAAAGTATGAGTCTAACGAATATTTTTTAATCAGATATCTTTCGGCGAGATGATTCTCTGCGACAACGACTTGTGCCCTATTGAATGGTTCCACTTTTCGTGCGTTTCTCTGGTGCTCAAGCCCAAAGGCAAGTGGTTCTGCCCGAACTGCCGAGGCGAACGACCCAATGTGATGAAGCCCAAGGCACAGTTCCTAAAGGAACTGGAGCGCTACAACAAGGAAAAGGAAGAAAAGACCTAGAGTTCAATTCTTCACTGAATCTACATCATTGCTCTGTGTCAAACACCAGGCTCTGTAAATTATTCGATCCTAAGATTTACCCTAGTGTACATTTAGTCTACTCGTCTACCCGTCCCTGACTATATCCCTGATTTCATTTACTTCTCCTAGTTAAATAATCTGCGTGTGGTTTAAGGCCCCTCAGTTTCCTTTTGCTGTTTCTGTACAAATTATTCCTTTCGCTTTGTAAACAAACACACAATCACACTCGTACATTTAGAGAACACCTAAACTTAATTTACGCTAATAAACGTTGATATTCAAAAACACCCTTAGTTTTACGAATCTATTTAATGGTCGTTTAGCAGACTAAGGCATTCGATTCATACATTACAATTAAACATGTATAAAGGTGTGTAAAATATATAAAAGTTTATATAAAACTATTTGGTAGGCATCTGTAAAATGGAATGGAATTCTTTCTTTTTGTAAAAATGTGATCCTGGACGGAGTTTGTTGCGCGCTGCGTCAAAATTAATCTTAAATAAAATATTCGAGTTATTTAGAGATGGCAGTGATGGCGCAGTTCTTATGGCATCAGCAGCTCAATATTTGGATTCTGGATTTCCAAAAAGATCTGGTACTGCGAGAAAACGACAAGCCAGCAGTATATCTAAGGGAAAGAAATAAATATGGGTTAAGACTTGAATAATGTTTTAAAAACCAAGAATACTTTACATTGTAGGCCACCCAAACGAAGTTCAACAAGGCCGAAAAAGTTTGCTCCAGCTGAAGAAAGTTTAAAAATAAATTTAGTAATTATTTTCGGAGCAACCCAACCCTCAAACTTACATAGATATAATAGCCTCCAATAAGCCACAAGCTCCAGCCAAACTGGAACAGAATAGCAAGACCGATGAGTCCTAACCAAGGCAATAGCCATCCTCGAGTGCTGTGAAACCATAAGAAAAGATATAGATTACAAAACTCAAAATTTTAAAGAATACGCACCTGATTTTAATACCGTAGTACACCATATACGAGGAAAGGATTATTAGAAGGAAGTAGATAATAAAGAACCCGCCAGCTATGGGCATCGATGTCCGGATGTCCGTTTCGAAAAGCGGCGAGTATAGTTGTCCCGACTCTCCCCCCGCCAGCATATAGCATATTATTGTGATGAGCACCACAGAGAGCGCAGTCGTATAGGCGGCCACGGCGTAGCTGCCCGTCCGGACATTGTCAGACCAGATAATGGGGGACCAACAGGAGCTCAACACGACCATTTTTCTGTAAAGAACTGTAAACTTTTTTAGTTAGGAGTCAAGAAAACTTCTATGTTTGTCCACTTTATTTCGGGCTGGGTGTCAGCGTCCACGCCCAAATATTTTGATGAATGAAAGTGCAGCCAATTAGCTCACATTCCTTCTTTTATTAACTCGTTTCTTTTTAGTTAAGGGCTTCCAACATAAATCCTTTTAAATTATATTGTTTATATTGTTTTATTAGGCGTGGGCGTACCTTTTTTTTAAATTATTTAAACATTAATTAAAAACAACAACTGAGTAATAGGGTTGTCACGTGCGATCGGAATTTCGATGGCGTTATCGATAGTTTTTAACAAGAGGATATCGGAAGACTCAAGTATGTTTTTTTCAAAGAGCTAAAAGTATTTAAATTTGTATTTAAATACATTTTTATTCATAAATTTACTACTAATAATATTTTTATTAAAACCTTTCCTATTCACCTCTTCCTCCAATAATAAGTGCTGCCAACTATCAGCAATTACCAGAAAGTTGGCTACACCAAAGTACACTGTTAAAAATGATGATGATTATGGCGCGGATTATTCGACCTGGCGCGGATATTCGCTTTTTTCCGTTCAAACGGTGCAGACGTGTGGCGGCTGCGACCGGTATTTTAGTTTGTTATTACGCGAAGACAGACGATCGCGGCTCTCGAATCAGTTATCAGTTATCCGGGCGGGATTTTAAATAAATTGTGTTTTTGCGCTTCAGACACCCAAAGTCACCCGCAGTTTTTTAATACTATTTTTTATAACGGTACATAAAGGTGAAGAGAAAATAATAATCGAAACCCAAGTGGGTTGCAGCTTTTGGCGCCTAACTCCGTGGGCAAGGTCAGCACCCAGTACGTACATATACATTCATCCAACATACATCCTGTTTCATTATGCACCTTTAATTCCGTGAAAGTTCTTTGAATTTATAAATGTGAATGCAGGCGGTGTGCTCTCATGTTCCAATTGGAACGATCTTTCGTGCCGAATTGCGAGCTCATTCCGCACACGTTGATATATACTTACGTACATATGTTTGGGCCAATTTCTCGCCCGAGATGTGGGCTTAAAGTGCACCACCAAAATAAAAAATCAGAAACAGAAAAAATCAGAAACCGAAAAAAAATCGGCACAGCGAAAGAAAAGGTTAATAATTCGTGCCAATAATATTGCTCTCGAATTTTTTTCTGGCATCTCTTGTTGGAAGTGTGTTTCGAGTTCAGACCGCTGAGGAGTTTTTAAAGTACACTGTCGAAAAATGGTTCAAAAGACAGTTAAACTACTCATAAACTTTAAATATATAGACAGAAATATAGCAATAATTAAAGCTATTTTTCAGAATTTAAAAAAATGGGATTATTGTTATTTTATAGCCCATCAATATTCTTAATCCTTAAACTATTATTTGACAGAAAAATTTCTTTTTGTGCTGAAAAAGGCCTAAACGGGATCGGGGAGGGAGGGAGGCGTGGTGGTGGTGGGCGATGGATGGGACATTGCCTCCGAATCGCACTCGGACACTCAGACTGCGCGCCGACCCATATTTCGATTTCATTTCATTTACGAAAATAAAAATAAAAAATAACCAAAACACCAAGACCAGACAAATCGGAAAAAAATCAGAAATAAAAAATGCAAAATCCAAAAAACTGAAAAAAAATCTGAAAAACAGCTTTGGCCGCGAGACGAGCGCCGCGCGATACTTAAGTGCGGGCAAATAAGTAAAAGATATGCCATAAAAAGACAGCATAAGTGTATTTTGAAGATACTTTTTCGTGTTGTGTTGTTGTTGTTGCTTCTCCGTCTCCTTCGTGTTTTGTTTTGTTTTTATTTTTATTGTTATTGTTGGTGTTGACTGCTGCCGCTGCTGCCGTCTTGGATGTTAATGTTAACTTGTTTAGTGTGGGCCGCAGTTGGTAGTTGCTTTTGTTGTTTTTCAGTTATCTCTGTGTTTTTTTTTTGTCTGTTGGCTTGGCTTGTTATAATTATATTGTTACTGGCTATAACGGTAAAGGACACTTGGTATTCATATGTAAATGCCCCGTCTGCCACTCAATTGAATTGTGCAAAAGATGCCATGCTCCATGCCCCCATGCCCCATGCGCCCCTACTACCACTTTACTGCAGCTGCACCTTTATCGAGCCAACTCGATCTAGGCCCAGTGAAAAGAGACAATCCCGAGACGTCTCGGGGATATTTTTAACTCTGGCGCGACTTAATTCCTGCTGCATTTGCAGTGGTCGCAGCTTATTTAATGTCTTCAAATAATCCAAATTGGGGCTTAGCCGGAGATGCGAAAAAAGGGGAACCGAAGAGGAAAGATACCAGAGATGATACAGGCTCTTCGATCATCCGAGGGGCACTGAGGCAAGAGGAGTTCATCGGGCCGAGTTCCTTTTACACTACTATTAATCATAATTATGACTTTTCCACTATTTGGTTCTATAGAAACCTTAATTATAATTTTAAAACATTTTTATGATCCACTAAAGAACCCTTTCCTAATAAAATAAAACTCTGAATAGTACTTCTTCAAGTGTATGTTGCACTATTCATAGACATACAACGGTTTATGGCTGGGGCAGGATGCCACGGGGGACCTAGAAGAGGGTTACAGGTAAAAAAAAGGCCTCCGGGGATGCGTCGGTAAATTGGGGAATGAAGTGCCATTTGCTCAGTAGGACAAGTTGTGGCCAAATAATGACTATATTAAATAACAGTTAGCAAACATTATTGCATTGGCCCAAAGCCTGTATAGCACAGATCTAGCCAAAAGGCACACACAACCCCACTCAGATGCTGGAGAAGATTTTCTGGCCAAGACTTTCTGGCTGGCTGGCTGGATGGCTGGCTGCCATTTGAACGCTGTTGGAAATGGCAGTAATGTGACCATTTAAGACCTCTTTCTGATGTCTTATGGAGTGAAAACGTCCTGCTGTGTGAAAACAAATTATAGGCATGTAATGTTGCATGTTACGTCGCGACTCTCGAGCATCAATGGAAAGCAGGAGGCGGTGGGGCATCCAATGGGGAGGACAGGCGCTACAGGCGAGGACGGAGGATGGCTGGGAGCCGGGCTGCGGCTAAGCTCAGTCAGTGCTGCAACACTCAAAAGTTAGCCCGGTCGGGCCAGTTGCGGATTTTGACTTGACGCTGGCTTTATGCTGATGCTGAGATGCTGTGGCTGTGCCTGGAACTGAAAACTGAAGTTAAGGCTAAAACCCAAGACTTGGCCAAGTCCCGGTCGTTGGATGTGTTTCTCCGTTTCTCTGTTTGTCCAATGTGTGTGTGTGTGTGTGTTGGCTCTAATGCTCTCTAACTGCTTATCAGATTTGTGAGGATTGCGCAAAAACGATTTCTGTTTTCCTTTTCGCCCCCCTCCGACACCGCCTCCTGCTCTGGCACCTTCTCCGCCTTGTTCTCCCGAGACCTGGGCATACCCTTTTGGCCGAGTTCCGACAAGTGTGTGACTGGCTTAAATCAAATGGCTTCGAATCATCTGAGTCTTTTGGCTATAAAGGCACTATGAGTTCAATAATGATAGATAATTGAAATATCTTCCATATTCATATCTATAATGGATCATCTTACTCTTCATTAGCATCTATTTTTTAATAAAGTAATCTTATGACATCTTCAAGTTCAAGCTGAACCTCTTAAGAAAGTATCAGGTGACAAAAAGGGGTGTGGATCTATTTAAGATACTTTGAATAAATTAAATTTTCATTATAAGAAATATGAGTGCATAGTTGGACTATCAAATCCCCATTCCTTTAAAGGGTATTTGGAACTCGTAGTGCTGGGTCTTAACCTTTAACGTCGTCTCTAGTAATATACTTATTTCTTGTTTTCTTTCTGTCTGTCTATTTTGGATTTTCAAACAACGAATGCGATTGCGACGCCGCATTTAAACGAGCACTGCAAGTCCGAGACCCCAACTGCTGCTGTTATTGGCAAGACAGATTCAGTTTGAGTTAGACTCGAAAATAAAGTAATGAAAAGGCCGGCCGAACGGCAGATCACAGCCTCTTGCAGACTGTCCCCACTATGAACTTTTATTGCCTGGGTCTGGGACTGGGTCTGGAATCGGTATCCCCAAGATACCACCTCCCAGTTGCCACTCCAGAAAAGAAGGAAGGAAGGAGGTGAGAAAGTGGCAAACTGTCGCCGGGGACAAGTGGTCCTCCAAGCTCATATTCGTATTTGTGCCAAAGCTGAGCCCATTACAGAGTCCCACATATCCATGAGCACACATAACGACGTCGTCTCTGCCGAAAGAGTTTGGCTCTGAACGACCACGCCCCCCACCGGTTAAACTAACAGCTCCAATACAGCAATGTCAGTAAAAAAAACCCTAATATCTTGGCTTGTGAATGATGATCAGGGTGAACCAAAGTTAAACTTTTAGGTGTTTTTTATTAAATTTATAGAATTAAAATATGAGTCTTAAAGCAAGATTTTAATTAAGAAGCAAATATAAATAAAAAACAAATAAACAAAGAGTGTGAAGCTATAAATGGCTTCAAGCAGAATCTTGTTATTTAAAGTCAGTTATCTTAAACGTGCACCTTAAGTTTTCACTTTATGGCCCAGTACTTTGGACCACCCTAGTGCTCACATGTTACATTTACGGTTTCGGCCACCGTCCGATGATGAATGCGGCAAGGCAATTTGAGTGATACTCACGACCCGTCAGTAGTTAGCTGCAGCCACGCCTCCACCGCCCAAAAGCGCTATCCATCTGCATCTCGGCATGCATTTAGCATTTAGGCGGCTGCTGGGCCAGCCCGGAACCCGAACCCGAACTCGAATCCGAAAATTAGGAAACGACTACGATCGAACTTTGATGGGACTGCACCACCTCCTCCTGGAGCTGGAGGCCCCGAAACCCTTTCCGTGTGACTACATATCACTGTGTAAAACGGAGCTTACATAATTGGAATGAATCAAGGCGGCCTGAGAATAACTTTCATATCAATTGGATATCCGGGTAAGCTCGTTAGGGTTATGCAATTAATTCGATACGAGGGGAGACCTGCTATTAGAGAATTTGTTACATTTCAGATGCGCAACTCATCTTTCTGCGCATTTATCTGACAAATGTATCTTAATCATCCGACTGGCATTAGGCCTGAATTATCATTTGATTAGATAAAGAATTCCTCTTGAAAACTTTTCTACGAAATGTTAGGGTCTTTAAAGGGCCTTGGAACTTTCTTAAGAATTCTCAAGTATTCCTCAAAAACAAAATCCTCCCATTGTTTAAACAAAAGTAAAAGTTTAGCTAA